GTTGAAAGTGCGGGACAAAATGTGAGACACACACACAGTCAACCCCGTGACAATATGCGTTTTGTACTGCTGTTACACAGCACAAAAAGCGTAAAAAGAAAACTGTTTCCGAGTTCGGTAAAAAAAAGAAAGGGAGAGAAAAATAATATATTATGAATGAAATTACAAAAATTCCGATGAAGTTAAATTCAAGGGCCAAAACCTTCCCACACTCTCCAAGAAGGGTGCAGAAGCTCGGAAACAGTTTTCTTTTTATGCTTTTTGTGCTGTGTAACAGCACGCAGCTTGATCAGCCCAACTAAATGTATGAGGAGCTATGCTGTGGCTTGTTATTTCCTGATTACTTATCCTAAGTCTTAGCTTGCCGAATTCATGGGCTGCAGCTTGCTCGAAAATTGCCCGACTAGTCGCTTTTCCTTACGTAACCCAAGATAATATTGCTATGCAATAGTACGCAGCTTGATCAGCCCAACAAATTTTATTCTCCCTTATGGTCATGACAAAGTATCCTGCACAAAATATATTTTTGATGCTCTTTGTTTATTTGTTTGTTTTATTTTTTTATTTATCTATACCCTTTTTATAAATTTTTTATTTATGCGTAATGTTCCAAGCATTTCACTATTGTATATGTCAGATTATGTGCTGTCCCGAATTCAAATTATCAATGGCGTTGGGGAAGCGTTCGTCCAATGAAGCGGACGAGGACGATGATGAGCCACCGTCCAATGTTCGGGTATGTTATGCTTTCGTAATTTCGTGTTATTTAGGGGTGAAAAATATATTATGCTTCCGTATTTTCGTTTTTTTAGGGGTATTTGCTGAAAAAGGGATTATTTTTTTTTGATATTGCCAAACTAGAACGCTCCGTTCTGAGATTTTGCTTCAGGGACTGTGCAGTACTCTTCTTTCTTTCCTTTCTCACTCTTCTGCTCCTTCGCTTATCCATCTTGCAAATTAGTTACATGACTACTCTAAATATGACAGTGCGAGGCTGTACTGATGATTCCCGCTCCTATCCATGCATAGTTCGGTCTGTATGTACAACTAGGGGATGAAACACAGAGACTGCATCATAAAATGTCCTCATATACATGAGATTTACGTGAAATCCTTCCATTTTTCTATTTCATGTTTGTTTACTTATTAGCTTCAATGTTCCCTTCACGCTTTTGACAGAATATACGGGAAGGGCACGATCAAACTATCAGTACGTTCAAATTTTTTTAATTTTTAATTATTAATGGATTTTTAGGATGAAATGAAAAAACTGGTAACGCAGGTCTTCCGAAAATATATCATCGAAGCAATTTTACCGCATGTGTTACGTCTCAAATATTACTTGCAAGAGAAACGTTTACCTGAATTGGAATTCGGTATCATCCGAGTGTTGAGGTCTGCATTCCCTGTTGTTGCTCGGAAAATCCGCACTTTTATGCAAAATTTTTTTTCCAAGCAGTTTAGCGCTTTTTACTAGTGAAAAAAAGTGGTAGAACGGGCTGAATTCTCACCCCTCCCATTCAACATCTCACATACATATGCAATTTTTGGTTATTCTCCCATCAACAATTTGACTTAATTACATTTAGCATGCTTCATTTTATTTTATTATTATTGCTCCATTGGAATCAAAATGAATCGAATTTTTCAATGAAAGTTGTTTTGCAGAGAATTGTGCAAGGATCATCGTGAGCAACTGGACGAATTTCTAGCAAGCGATAAGCAGCTGAAAGCTGAAATCAAATTTGATCTTGAAAAGCTTGAGGTCCGTTCCATGATATGTGTTACTAATATTGAGCTGATGATCATCTGCACTTCATCCGACCCTTGATTTCTTGTAAAACCTGTAGTTTTTGGGCTCATTCGACCATCTAACAGCCCTTACATTAGTTTAACATCTCTAGATTATAACAATTGGGTAAGAAGTTGAACCGTATATTTTATACTGGCATGGTACTGAGGTTTTGAGGTTTTTATTGGTTTTACTGAGATTTTTATTACCACCCCTCGTCTATCAAACTACCCGGACATTCCTATTTGAAATGGTCACTTCTTGCTCACTTTTCCATGGCCCCTTCTTTCCTTTTTATCTCAAAATTTTGACAAGGAAATGTCGGGAAATTCGATTTGCAAGTGTTTTTGCTCCAGAACTGCGAAAGCTAGGAAGTTGAAGTTGTCCTGGTCAATGTGCGGGTAGCGATGGGCCGTTAATTCGTCGATTCGCACAAATGATTAAGCCCCGTCCTCAGCTGAATGGTGGCATAATGTGGAACAACCCGCTTCTTTATTCCCTATTCCCTCTCTATGAGAGGCGGTACTTCAAAGTTTGATGCAAAAATGCATGATCGCACACGGTTCGGCTGGTGCGTTCCAGCCTGGATTATTCTAAATTACTCAATTTTTTTCAGTTTTAGTAATAAAATAGTGTATTTTAAGGAGAAAGAAAGAAGGCTTAAAAACGCTAATAACAATAACAACAATAACAACAGTGCGGTGAGACCGTGCAATGTGAGGGAAGGAAGAAGGGTATCGTTTGCTGCAAACACTAAAACACTAATGCAATCGCCAAGAGCCAGCTTTGATATGCAAAAGCAAAAAACCAGTGATGAGAGGACTGCTGCTGCTGCTGCCCAGAATGTGTCACAAAACAACGGACGAAGCAATGGCATGGATTTAGAGCCAGGTAAAGCTTTTTTATCGTAAGTGAGATTTTTTTCAGATAATTGGTATCTTTGAAAATCTATTTTTAGCAAATGTTCCCGCAGAATCGACTCCCCCAACAGCTAGCAATGCTCCGGATGCAGTTGCAGTCGAAACGGATGATAAAAACTCTTCAAAAACAGCACAGGAAGAAATGGAAGTGGACAGCGATAAAAATGAAAACGACGAAGAAATGCCCGAAGAGCCGTGCCCAGCACAGGTGAGCTGGATGTGAAGTAGGAATAAAGTGTGTTAGAAATCAGTTTCTTGTGTAAAAACTTGAGTTTCACGCATTTGGTTTTGGTTTTTTTTGGAGGCTGTCCATTTTTTGCTGCAAAAGGGAAAGGGAGTGGGGCTA